TGAAACCCCGTCTCTACTAAAAATACAAAATTAGCTGGGTGTGGTGGTGCATGCCTGTAATCCCAGCTACTTGGGAGCCTGAGACAGAAGAATTGCTTGAACCCAGGAGTTAGAGGTTGCAGTGAGCTGAGATTGCATCATTGCACTCCAGCCTGGGCAACAAGAGCAAAACTCCGTTTCAATAAATAAATCAATAAATAGCTATAGTAACTCATCTGTCATTTAACCTAAGCGTAGATCCCCATACACTTTTCCTCCATTACTATTTACCTGAAGTTCTTCAGAATAAAATGATTAAGGAAATTGATCTAAACTATTAAGAAAAGTGTTTGATGAGAATATGTGTTTTCCTGAGTATTCTAAAAATAACAATAACCAGTAATAGTAATAACAGTAATGATATTCCTTCACATTTGGATAGTCATTTGCAGTTCACAGGGTGCTTACATTATTTCTTTAAATTCATCACACAGATCCTGGGAACTAACAAGAATTTTCATCCTTACTCTGTATGTTAATGAACGTCACAGGTCTCAGAGTTTTACCTGTGAACCGTGGTTGCAGAGTTTTGATGCCCCCCAGTAGACTCTTGTGATCAGCATATGAGTTTGAGGGGGTGTGTGTTTAAGGTGCTAGACTGATGGGACCCATAACTAGCGTGCTTGACAGTGATATTTAGAATAATAGTAACAAGTGGATATGAAGTAGTTACCATGTCCCAGACACTGCTAAGTGCGTGAAGTGACCAGCCATAGGTTTAACTTATTTTTTATAGACAAGGCAAATAAGCTTAGTTCATTCTCTCTTTTCATGGGGGAGTGTGATGGAAAGTCTGACTCTCATTCAACATGTCTTCATGAAGCTAATCCCATGAAGCTGTCCTGTTTAAACAGATGTCCTAGTTCCGCTGCAGCTTGAAGAATTTTTCAGATGGGATGAATTTTTCTGACTGGCTTGGCTGAGTCCTTCCACATGGCCCCTGCCATGGCAGAGATCTTCCTAATATCCTGCTTTGTTAACCAGTCCCCTGTCTAGGCAGTATTTTCATCTTTGTTGTGTGATGTGTCCTCTATTAACTCAAAATCCCCATTCTCCACTCTTCACTGCCCGACTTACAAGGATAACAGAAAATATCCCTGGGTTTGACTCTCTCTGCCCCCTACATTGGCATCATATCCTGGAACAATCATTATATAACAGTCCTGGGTTTGCATCCCAGATCAGCTTCTTAGCCAGAGCCTTTTGTATAACCTAAAGCCACTTCACCACTCTGATCTTCAATTTCCTCATCTGTAAAATGAGGATTAAAATGTTGAAGAGAAAAAAGGAGATAATATATGTAAAGGACTTGACATATAGCAAAAAATTCAATAAGATGGCTGCTATTATTGAGATTTTTGTTCTGATTCTTAAATCTGTACTCTTTCCATTTTTCTGTGCCATTCTGCCTGTCATATGCCCCCTGACATGAGCTTACTGACATAATTGTCAGAAATAGCACTGTGATTTATAATGGCCTTCAGAGACTGTCTTAAGAATTTAGATGTACTTCATTGTTAAACGAATCAAATTCAGAATTGAAAAACAGAGCACAAAGCTTTCAATAGCAACCTACTTTTCTGTACTTAAAACAGATTTTTTAAATGAATTTATTAATGATATTTCTGGAATACTGGCATTCAAAGAAGGAAAAATCTGTACTTCGGATCTCTGAATGACTCTGATGGTCACACCTGAAACTGGGATGTTGTGAAAACCAACATTTTTCCTTTGTGACAGTGATAAGTAATTTAACTCTTTCTGGGTTGATTTCTCATTAATAAATCGAGGAAACAGGAAAGTAAATGATTATGGAAGTAGGGCTTCAGTTTAAACATCTTAAGTCCTCTGATAGAGCAACACTGTGGGTAGGTCAGCAGACAAGAAATAATAATGAAACACAGTTGTGTATGCGATTTTACAAAGCTTTCTCCTTCCATGATCTTTTCTGAACTCATGACAACTTGGGAGGGGATGAGAGAGAGAATTATCCATTGGACATTTTCCAAGCTTCTTGGACTCCTGTATCATCTGTCACCACTGACCATTATCACATTATGAATCTTCCTCCTCCCCTGCACTCTGTGACATTTCCCTCTGGTTATCTTCATATGTCTGCCCACTCTCATCCACAGTTCCTTGGATGACTTTTCCCTCTCCCTCTAAAATGTTGTTATTCTCTTGGGTTTTACCTTCAGCTTTTTTCCTTACTTTAATCTCTAAGGGCAATCTCAGTTCACTAAATGATTTCCATTAGCTTTAATTTTGACCTAATTTGGTAGTTCCAGCCCAAATCTGTCTCCTGAGCTCCTGATATCCGTCCCACTGTTACTGGACTTCTTAATTTGTATGTCCCCTGGGTACCTCATGCTCATCCTTTGCAAATCCCTCCCAGCCAAGTTTCTGTATCACTTTGTCTGGAGGAATGACAACACTTTCCATCCATTACCTTAGCCCAAATCCTCAGCATCATCCCTAATACTTCCCTTTCTCTTCCTATCCTCATTCAATAATTCACTTAACTCTGTTGATTCTGCCTCCTTAAAAGCTCTCAAATATTCATCCCCATGGCTACTACCTTAGCTCAGACACTCATCATTACTTGCATCCTCCTGCAACAGCATCCTAATAGTTTTTCTTGCTTTTGTTCTCTGCCACCTGCCAAGCCAATCATACCACAGTAAGAATCATCCTTGAAAATGCTTACCTGTCTGTGTCCTTACAGACACCTTATTTACACATATAAGATCCTATACCTTATTTACATATATATGCATATGAAGAGAAAGAGTCCCTCATTTCCTGTAGCAGGATACACAAAACACTCTCTAATCTAGTCTTTACTGCTTCTCTTCAATTCTTCAGTTCTTGACATTCTCAACTCTATTGCTTTGTATGATCTTTATCTAACCATATCTACCTGAAATGAATTCCTTGCAGTTTCTACATTTGTCAAAGTGGTCTCAGGTCTCTATACCTTGTAAAGCAACTCACTCTGCATGCAGCTACCAGCTTCTCTATACTTATGACAACCTACCCAGGCAGACTGTGCTCCAGGTCCTGGAGGAGGTTTCCTCTGAACTCTTTCTTCTTGGGTTAAGTCCTCTGTTGCAATCTATGCCTTTAGCACTAGTTGCTGAATTACAATTACCAAATTACTTTTCTCTTTCTCACTAGACTCTGCCTTACTTACCTTTTTTATGTCCAGCACCCCACCACCTAAAACAGTAAATACTTAGCATGTGGAAAATACTTAATGTTCTTTGGATAAAATAACATTTTATTGTTGGGAAAACCAAGACAGAGAAAGGCCAAAATCTTCCCATGAGTACATGGTATAGGCAAAACCAGGTTCTCAATCTTCCAATTCTTTCTCCAACTTTTTTATTCTATTGCTATTTCTGTAAAACAGTAGCCTTAAACATAGACCAAAAAGGGGCTTTTATAAACAGTTTAGTTTTAAGTCCATGAAACCTCTGCAAAGAAAACATGACTTGGCGAAGTCAAGAAAATATTCTGCTTAGATATGACTCATCCTTGTGCCACGCTTCTGAGGTTGAGAATGCTGAGCTTTGTCATCCCTGTTTACTCCAGGCTTGCAACGAGTCACCCAAAACTTAAGAATTAGATGGCTCCTTCCTGTTTATGTCTCTCTGTTTCCATTTCTAGGAGGTGATGATTTTCAATTGGATTAACTGTTCCTGTGCAAAAATCATTACCCCTTGAGATGGAGTCAGGATAGGGTAAATAGCTCATCCCAAGTATTATCACAGCACTAAAATAAGTGTATGTACTTTCTAGTGATGATAATAGACTTACTAGTTTTTTAGGCACTGTTTTCAGAAATTTGCATACAGTATTTTTTTACTCTCATATAAGCTTTACCATAAAATAAATTGCAAATACCTACTGTGAGATGTTCTGCCGCTATGAGGCATTTAACAGATTGTTTTTGAATGAAAAAATGTTTCTAGCATTGTGGAAAGTGAGGATGCACACACACACACACACCATGCCCTCTGCCCTTAGCTTTTATCTAATTGGGCAAATTGGTCTAATATATAAGCAACAATTAGAGACAAAGAGAATTATTTCTTTAACACTTTTGTGCTAGACACTATGTTAAATACTATATATAATTGTGTGGTAGGTGTATTTAAATCTTTACGGGAACCCTATGAGGTTTTCTAGGTGGTTGAGTGTAGACAGAGCCAGAATTTAAGTCTAGCCTGCTTGGCTCTTCCAGTTCCATCACATGACATTTAAGCCAAATGAGATCACAAAGGAATGCAGAGGGCAGGGGAGAAGGAATGAAATTGCCAGAAAAGACTTAGTGGGTCCAACGTGAAAATGTGATTGGGAATGGATGGGCAGAAAGGAGGGAATTCAGGAGCTGAATTCGGGAATTCAGTGGGAGCGCAGTCTTCAGGACAGGCACCCACAGATAGAACAAAAGGCTACTGACCTATTAGGAAAATGGATCTCATTCCTTTGTATCCAGTATCTGTCATCACTGGTCCTGTGGTTTTTCACCAGATGCTCCTGTGTAATAACTGAGCAGTTATCTTTCAACTTTTATACAATGACTAAAAGGTGAATTTTAAGCCACACATTTCTTGTGTATCCTTCCTCTGGGAAATTATATTTCTAGGAAAGTCATTTTGTACTAGAAATCAATATCTTAAATATCCTAGTGGGTGCAACCCACTGCCCTGAAAATGTCGTTATTTATTAATCCAACCAGCAGGACTTCATGAAACAGAAGGGATGATGTTGCTAGTGCAGAAACTCTCTCATTGGCAAGTAAGGGCCTGCATTATGGCATACAGAAAACAGGTATACTCTTCTGGACTGGGAACCAGACTACCTAAATTCAGTCCTGGCTTTGCACTAAGTACAGTAATTGAAATATTCTTGAATATGTGTCTTTACATTGCAGAACTATTCAATAGTTCTCCTACCTGTGAAATGTCCAAGTTGGAGAAACTCAGAGTATCCTAAGACGTCCTCTTCAAAATCATTTGTTACAGTGTTTGTGAAACAATTGCATATCATATACCCTTCTTGTAGATTGACAGTGCATTAATATCTCTGATGGCCCTGTAGAAAACAAACCAATTCAACACTAATTAATCCAACAGTTAAATAATTATTTGATAAAACATACTCTGGGAAAAATTTCACTGTATACTCTGCACTGAATAGAAATTTCTGGTAGTTCTGAGAAAATTCAGTTTGCTTTCAAATATGATTTGTAGGTTGCCTCTATCATATTCTCAGTTGAAGTTACTGACATTTTAAAACTGCACAAGGACTTCATAAAGATACTGTTATATTATCCTGACTGCCTTTTTCTCTTTCTCCAGTGTTCTGGTGCAAATTAAAGTGTTTTACATTAACTCTAAAGGTAGTGAAGTGGGAAGAAGAGAAGATATATTGTTTTTGCTTTGTTTGCTGAGTGAACAGTTTGAGGTGTGAGTTAAGGATGCAGATATTCACCCTTCTGGGAGCTTCAGATTGCAGTCTGAACTGATTCTTCAGCACAATCGTCATATTATAACCTCAGTACTCAGTAACAGAGTACTGAGGTGGCCTTTGGATTTGTAGTCTTAAAGTCAAATTATAGAAATATAATTATCTTATCATGAGGGATTGTACCAGGAACTATGCTAGTGAATGGCAGCGTGACAGTCATTAAGATAGGTGCCTGCCCTCAAGGAGATCACAGTCCAGTGAGAGAAACAGATAAAGAACTGCACAATTATAATACAGTTATGTAAATTGTTTGAATTAGGTCACACATGAAGTGCAATGGCAACTTGGAATGAAGTTCTTTGTAAACTATGACTAAAAGATATTTGCAAGTCCCCTTCTTTGATCCAATCAGTGTAGGAAAAAAAGGAAATTCTTCTTGTGTGTGTTTGTGGCTGATTAACTTTCTGTCTCCACCAGCATAATGATCATGATGATGATGAATGAGGAGGCATGATAAGACATTATGAGAGATGGAACAATTTTATTTAATCCTTGTTTTAAGATCATCAATCTTCTCTAAACAAGTAGATAACCCACTAATAATAAATGCAAACAATCATTCACTCATATAACTTTCTTAAAAGAATATTATCAATGGATGGAGGGTGAGATCCCTCAGTAAAACCCAGAAGCATAGGTACCAGAAATTTTCACTTTGCATCCCCATATGTTACGTACCAAAGCAGCAGAATTTGCCCTAAGGAATTTTGGGTTATTATGAACAGTTGAACAGAAAATGAAACTTAGATCCTGGAGTGAAATGTCCAATTTACAGGTAGCAACCTTGTGAAGCAATGAAGGGATGTGTGTCTTAGGCAAGGCCACCAGCTAGTCAGGGACAGAGGCAAGACCGAGATCTAGGGCTCCTGACCCCCCATTCCAGTGCACTGTATCGTGCTCCTTTCTGTGGTATCTCGGGACACTTGTGAATATTTTCAATTTTTATCTAATGTATTTAACATTTTTCTAAAATAAGTAATTGGGTGGAAGTTTAAAAAGAACCCCTAACTAATGCCTTACCTTGTCACAAGAGGACATTCATACATTTCAAATTTATTATATCCAACATAAACATATCCACCAATGATTTTATCATAGAAAACCAAAAAAAAAAAAACATGAAAAATTAGGATCATATTACTGATTTCCAATAATATATTGGAACAGGCCCATGACGAGCAATTGAAAAATTCTGGCCAACAGTCTAATTATCTGCTATTTGATAAAAAAATAAATCAAAACAATGGATAATATCACTGTCAGTTTTCTCTCAGACAGATTTCAATAACCCAAATGCTACGAAGACAGTGAAGTGCTTGAGACTAATGTGAAAGAGACATTGAAATAAGATGAACATTATTTAAACAGCAATCCTATACCATGCCAAACATTTGGTAAATAAATACAATCTCATTGAGTCCTCACAATGACTCTGTAAGATAAGCTCTCATTTTTAAGCAGATGGATCTTGGCTAATGCCTCTCTAGGCTTTAATTTCCTCATCTATAAAAGACAGATTTTTTTAACCCTACTCCCTTGTAGGATTCTTGAGTTCTCCCTTGAGAACTCAAGATAATGCCTGTGAAGAACTTAGCAGAGGACTCAGCACCTAGTAGTTGCTATATAAAAATAGTTTTTAACATGATTGTACTCCTCAGTCCCATCATTAAGTTTTACAGAAAGTTGTGTTTAGAATTTACTTCTGCAACTTTTAGAATGTAGAGAGCAGGTAAGGTGAAGCATGAACTTCCAACACCCTTACCTGTAGCTATGTTAACACTTCCAATGACTTTTCTTGATTAAGAAACCATGTCAGAAGCATCCCAAAGTCCTGTGGATTTTATTTGCAAGACCCTTCACTCCTTTAGTAAGGGGATGATCAAAGAACAATTTTTTAGAAGTTTCAAAGTTAAAGTCAGTAGTAAAGAATTAGGGAAACAGAAACAGAAACATTACTGCCAGCTCCCCATGTGCAGAGAACAACCTACTAAGGAAATCTTAAGACCAGATGCAGATTGGTAAGGTGTTCCAGAAATGTAAAGAAGTGGAGTTTGCCATCCAGATTTGTTCCATATTAGTTTAACCTTGATTTCTAATTAGAATAAAAAGTAATGTGAAAGAACAACAAAATTTTATAGAAAAAATCTGCTTCAACCTCACCAAGTTATATTTTCCTTAGCTATGTATTTTTTCAATATACTGAAAACACAGATTGTACTGATATGTACCTATTTGCTTAGAAACAATATAAATTCTATTGGCACAATAATAAAAATAAACCAGTAAAATCCAACCATTTTCCCTGTTCTTTAAATATTCTTCTCATTATTCAAATAAAAGCCTTAATAATGATTACCGATTATAGCCTTGTATTTCTATGTCAGACTTCTTTCCAGAGTCTCAATGAACTGAGTAGCTGTACTAGGATCATCACCATCTAACAACTTCCCAAGATGGTCAGGGGTAAATGGTACCCCCCTGGGGCATCACAAGGTCAATTATGACATTTATGTGAATCAAAATGCTGCAAGGGGTGAGTCTCAGTGCACCACAGATGCTCCCTTAGTGTCATGTTCAATTAATGTAAAGCTTGTGATGATTCTAAGAGTTAAAGTGACACTTTAACTCTTAGAATCACAGTTTTATTATCTACAGAACAGGAATACTAAGGCCAGACACGGGGGCTCATGCCTGTAATCCCAGCACTTTGGGAGGCTGAGGTAGGCAGATCACGAGGTCAAGAGATTGAGACCATCCTGGCCAACATGGTGAAACCCCATCTCTACTCAAAGTACAAAAATTAGCTGGGCCTGGTGGCGGGCACCTGTAATTCTAGCTACTTGGGAGGCTGAAGCAGGAGAATTGCTTGAATCTGGGAGGCAAAGCTTGCAGTAAGCTGAGATTGCACCACTGCACTCTAGCCTGGCAACAGAGCAAGACTCCATCTCAAAAAAAAAAAAAAAAAAAAAAATAGAAATACTAAGTCCAACCTTGCAGGATTATTGTGTATGTTAGAAAAATATTATGTTCCTACTGTCCTACCTGGTACTTATTAGTAATTCAGTAAATGATAGCTATTAGCTATTTATATTATTATATTTGTAATCTACCTTCTCTTCATCATCTTCTTTAGGTCTCAGTGTAAATCAAAGAGAATAACATTGCTTGTTCCAAAGGACTACCACAAAGACTAAATAACACAGGCAAAGGTGCTTTGTCAACAACTCTCAGCATTGTGTGTGATTCTTAAAAATAATAATTAACAAACAGACTGGAGCCTCTGGAAAACTCTTTCCAGTAAGCTACAGTACAAATAATAGAGTCTATGATCTTTAAGGAAAACCAAAATTACTCTTCACTTGCAGAACTTTCAGAGACTCTTTCCTTGCAGTCTCCTTACAAATGACTGCCAGTGCCAGGATCTGAAGGTCCATGGGATGCAGCATGCACAGGTGGAGCGCAAGAGAGAGGGAGCAGGCAATAAATAACTTACCACTAACCCCTCTGAGTCATGGATGGGTGGGTTTTGTCCTTCACATAGCCTCTGCTAGAACAAAGAAGGGGTATTCATGTATGGTGTCAGATGCAGGATGATATGGTTTGGCTCTGTGTCCCCACCCAAATTTCATGTTGAATTGTAACCCCCAGTGTTGGAGGTGGGGCCCGGTAGGAGGTGATTGCATCATGGGGACGGTTTCTCGTGAATGGTTTAGCACAATGCTCTTGGTGCTGTTCTCACAGAGTTATCACAAGATCTGGTTATTTAAAAGTGAGTGGCACCTCCCCTGACCCCTTGCTCCTGCTCTGGCCTTGTAAGATGAACCTGCTTCCCACTCTCTTTCTGCCGTGGTTGTAAGTTTCCTGAGGTTTCCCTAGAAGCTGAGCAGATGCCAGCATCATGCTTTCTCTATCGTCTGTGGAGCTGTGAGCCAATTAATTCTCTTGTCTTAATAAATTACCCAGTCTCAGGTATTTCCTTATAGCAATGTGAGAATGGACTAATACACAGGGCAAAAAAAAAAAAAAGAGCTTATTCTTAAGTATAGTTATAATCAAAGACCCTGTTTTATTGGTGGGAAATACTTTTTCCCACTCTTGACTTTCCCTTCCCTGTGGAAGACAATCCCTCATCATTCTACATAAGCGATAGAATGAATTAACAGATTGTAAAGTTAAGGTGCAGAAATTAGACATATATAACCTAATCCTCTGTCTTGGGAGTAGCCTGAATCACTCCAGTTTTTAGTGGTTCCATAATCAGCACTTTGTTTCTTATTTTGAGAAACAGACATTTTAGACTGAATAGAATTTCCGCCACCATCCCCAACCTACTCCTCCAACACAAACTCACATCAACATCCACCTTTAATCTAGCTTTGACTCTCAACTCTCCATGTTCTTGTACTTTTCCTCCAAATGTAGGCACTCTTCAAAGTTCAAGCTGGCTGCGGTGGCTCACACCTATAATCCCAGCACTTTAGAAGGCTGAGGTGGGCGGATCACCTGAGGTTGGGAGTTCAAGACCAGCCTGGCCAACATGGTGAAACCCCATCTCTACTAAAAATACAAAAATTAGCCTGTATTACAGGTATGGTGGTGCATACCTGTAATCTCAGCTATTCCAGAGACTGAGGCAGGAGAATTACTTGAACCCAGAAGGCAGAGGTTGCAGTGAGCCAAGATCCTGCCACTGCTCTCCAGCCTGGGCAACGGTGAGACTCCGTCTCAAAAAGGAAAAAAAAAAAACAAAAAAAAGCACAGTTCAGCCCCCATCCTTCCCCTCTCTTTCATTATACTCTCTTGAACATTTCTTCTAATTTCACCATATGTCAGTAATGATTAAGTTTGACTACACATAAAAAGCCCAAAAATACCAAAATAGCCATGATTTACACAAGAAGTTACTTTCTTTCTCATATATAAGAAGCATCAGGGTAGGCTCTTCAGGGTGAGTATGGCAGCTCTACAGATTTACCAAGGACCTCCAGGTTCCTTCCAGTACTCTTATCTGCCATTCTTAGGGTGTGGTCTTTGTCTTTAGTGTTCAGTTTGGCTGCTGAAGTGCCAGACATCATTTCCTTTGCGAAAAGCAAATGGCATGGAAGATAAATATGACCTCTTCTTTTGAAGAAGACTTTCTGGAAGTACCATATACCCCTACTGCTTACATTTCATGTGTCAGGTTATAGTATCATGGATATAGCTAGATGCAAAGAAATATAGTCTTTTAGCTACATGGCAAAGTACCTGGTTAAAACTTGGAATTCTATTAATTTGAGAGAGAAAGATAAATGGCCAAACATGGCTTCCATGATCAACTATGGACCAATAACTTAAATCTGTCTCTAGCCCCAACCTGATCCTAAGTGTAAATTCTCATTTCCAACCACCTGCTTGATTTCTCCACTAACACCACATCCAAAACAAAGTGCTTTCATTGAATCTCATGCCTAAAGGAATAAAAAGCTACTATGTACCTCAAGGCAGTTGATACACACAACAGGAACAGTGAGATTATGTGAGTAATGCTCCCTTCACATGCAGAATGACAAATTTGAAAGCCCTGATCAGGCCTCCATCTACTTTTCCAGGCAGATTTCTCCGCTACACACCCAAGCAAACCCACTACACTCCAGAGATTCTGGACAATACATAATTTCCTAAACCAAGTGCATTCTTTTGTAAGTTGATGCCTTTGTTCATTCTGTTTACTCAACCTCCAATGCTTTTATTTTCATCTTTCTTTGGCCAACTTGTATTCATTTCTAGGCTTGCAACAAATACTACCTATTCCATGAAGCCTTGTCTTGTTCCCCATGATTGGAATTAATATTACTTCTTCAATTTATTCAGCAGCATGTTGTTCATCATTCCCTTATGCATCTTTTACAGTATGTCTTGCCCTGTATTTGTGCACATGACTATCTGCCATGCTAGACAAGCATCTCGTTGATGGAGGGGGCCAGATTTTGCTCATACACACAAACATACACACACACACACACACACACGCGCGCGCACACACACGGTATCTAGCACTATTTTTTATGGGGAGTAGGTAGTTAATTCATGTATGCTGGGCAAATGGAAGTTAACATGAAAGTAGAAGCTTTAATTAGTCAGTCAACCTCTGAGGGCTAATGATGTGATCCTCCTCTCTGGGAGAAAAGATGCCCTCCAGAGGCAGAAATACAGTGGCAAGTCCAGACACGTAACACAAACAGATCTGAGTTCAATTCCTAATTTTCCCATTTACATGCTAGGTGAACTTGATGTCTGTGAACCTTACCTTTTTAAACTTGTAAAATAGGTAGAATGGTAACAAATTTACAGTGCTCTTTTTATTCAGTGCCAATGTATATAAAGTGCCTATTGTAGTGGTTGACCAATAGCAGGCATTCAATAACTGTTAGTTTCCTTCCTCACTTTCTACGCCTCTTGCATGCCATACTAACAGATAGTAGGTAGACTAGGGCATCTTTGCCTGAAAAAAATACATAACATGTATTTTCATGTTGTATGTCTACAAAGATTGACATAAGGCAATAAAATAAAAGTTTTTTAAATAAAAAATTGTTAAAATTTCTGACAGTTTTATCAAAACAACACTAAGGAATTATTTAAAGTGAGTAAGAAGATGTATTAAATGTGTTAGATTCTGAAAGCAAAAGTTGAGAGGAATGAGAAAGACAGAACAGCAAAGAAACATAAAATCCCAGTGGGAGGTTTTGGACTAAGTAAGGGACTACAACTAAAGCCAATTTGCAGAAATTATGAACTATATGACTTTATCAAGAAATTACAGAAACCCACATGTCTGTGGATTATCAAACAAATTACTTCACTTGAATACATATTTCTCTGCCTATTTTATAGATTCCATATTCTCCTCCTTCTTGGAGTTGGTAACTCCATCTTCTCTAACTGATGAAATCAAATTGAAAAAGGCCCCTTGTGGATATTCCTTCTTGCCAGAATTGATCTAAATCTGTCCTAGGCAATAAGCCTCTTCCTTGACAAACAGTCTGCCTTGATTAACTTCACAAGTTAGTTCCCTTAGAGCGCTCACCCATCTGTAAAACAGGAAATCCTCCTCCCCACCACCCCAGATTACCAGTCTGTAGGGCATTTCTTCAAAACCCAATACCTGCTTTCTTTTTGGCAAATTTGACGGGAATCAAGTATTCATTTTACTTAATTATTCCATTGCCAGTTGCCGTTATGCCTAAAACTCAAAGATGAAACACTTACAAGCAACATAAGCCTGTTTGCAGGTTTCACTTATCTATCATTTCTAACCTTTGATTCAAGACAGGAAGCACACTGGCCAAGTGTATTGCCATGATGTAGAGCCTAGAGGATTAATAATTCTTGGCAGTTTGTGTCAAATATCCCTGCTAAAATTGGAGGTAATGAGAAGTTCCTAAAGACAGATGAGATCTCAACTTTAAAGGTATTGCCCCAAACTTAGATTACAGAACATTTTCCCTTTGCTCTGTGGTTAACTCCTAGTACCATCAAAAGCAGCCTGGGGTCTTGCAGAACAGGAACCTGTCATCTCATCACCCCGTCATTCAGAGTAGACTG